CACTTGGAGCTGCTTGTGGTTGAACTAGACACCAATGTAACATACAAGTTCAATTGCTGTATAGAATGCTGATAAGGTGGTTTCTGAGTTTCTTTGAGAGTGTGGTATAATCTCTGGCAGTAGTCTACGGGATAAATGGACTGTAGTGGGTTCATACCTAAGGAACGGAGGGTGAAAAACTCACTACAGTCTATATCCCACAGACTACAGCTAGAGATTATGCCACACTCTCACAAAGAAACTCAGAAACCACCTTATCAGCATTCTATACAACAAGTTCAGTTGTGTTAGAGCCGAATTCATCCCAGGTGTAAATCCAACAATTTTAGCAGCTTTATACTAGAGATCAATTTGATCCATCATGTAAATGAATTCTGTATGTGGTTATAAAAACAGTAAAACAACAGGAGTGACCAAACAGCTCAATCAGCACTAGATTTCCATTGTGCTAGGTGCTGTGGAAACACAAACAGAAGGGCTCCATTAAGAGCTAATATTAAACACTTCCACATGATATTGATTGGAATAATTCATTTAACACTATACTGATGCTTTACAGAGTAAAGCTTTCAGTGCCCCCAAAGACAGGGATGGCTACAAAGAACATACCTTATGAAAATGCATAACCATGTAAAGAGCAAATATCTGGTTTCTTCTCTTAGAAAGAACAGACATTTACAAAAATCTGACTTTTTTCAAAAGTGGAGATAGGTAATATTGTGGATTATAATGGCATTTTTATTTACCTGAAAGTACACAGTTTATTTCAGTCATACAATACTGGCTGGAGTTGAATTCCAAATACGGGAATAAAATCAAGATTACAGGCAAACATAGAATTCAATAGGAACAGGATTCCAGACTAAATATTCAAACCTGGAATTTAATATTACATTGCCTCTGGTGAATACTTCCATTTTTTGCACCTTAAGTATTCCTCAGGGAAGAAAGTTTCACTGTATGTTTGTATAGAACCTATTATAAGAGATTCCTGATTAGGGACTCTTAAGTGCTACAATAATGTGAATGAATCCCAAGAAATTATCTGGATAAAAGTAGCATCATATTTTTGGATATAAATTGAAGCAGCAATAGTTATCAGATCCATTCCCTCACCGCACCCCCCCCCCCCCAAAAAACCCATTACCTGTAGTCCTAAAATTGTAATATACTCCAGTAAAATACACAAAGAATTCACAAAACCCACACAAAGAATTCACAAAACCCCCACAAATGTACAATGTTTTTTATTAGCCCCAAGTAGACTATGCAAGGAATCTATGTCATCCTGGGTTTTATGCAGGGGTAGATTTTTTTAGGCTATTTGTTTTGCAGGAACCCTGATCTTACAGCAAGCTCATTGCAGAGAATATCTTTAATTTAATGGTGCACAATGGTTCTGGAAAAATGGGAAGTAAGATGCTCCCAGTTTGTGCTTGTAATTTTGATAAAAATAGACTGAAATTGTGCCAAAAATTTCTCCAATTAAATAGTTCTGCTTTTAGTGCATCCAGTACATTGTCCCAAGGCGGGGGGAGGGGAAGAGAGAATTAAATATAGCTTCATCTCAGTTTTTAGCAACTTAGTGACTTCATTTTCCAGATGAAGGTTCCACATCAGACAACTGCACTGATAGTCCAAAGTACATACTCCAGTGAGGTTAGGGGAAGACGCCTCTGAAGTGAATTGCTGTTTTTTCAAGACAATCCCCCTCCAACAAATCATAAAAGGAGCTCTTGAAAATGCAAAAGTGGCAGATAGCCACCACTTAACCTTAATGTAAAAAGTCGTGCCTGTATCACCTCTGCTTTGTCACCAGAAATAAGGTAGAAAGCTACCACACCTAGTAAGGAGAAAAGTTTTACATGTATTTCTTCCTTTCCTCCTATCCCTCCTCCTCAGTCTGATTAAAGAGGACTTTTCCAATTGGAAAGTTCATTGGAATAGCACTTGCTAAACTCATGCATCCTGTAATTATCATAGCATGCTAACTCTAGTCATGAGTCAGATTTTATTCCTGTTTCTTGGGCGAGACCATCACAACACCATAATTTTCCAGATGGAAGAAAGCAAACAAACTAGTTGAGGCAATCAACAGCAAAATAAGGGATAGAAAAGTATAGGAGAATCTTGACTACTCCAAAATATGTCAAATACTTACAAATTAAGGCTGTAATTCTTAGTTACAAAGTCTCCTCTTGTCTTGTCCTCTAGACCTTGTACAGTGCCTTTCAGAATCCCATATGCCAAACAGGTGGTTTCTTAATTTGAATATACTCAATCTAGTATGATGGAAATGGTCACTCAGATAAACTTCATATCTACTTAGCATACCAGTTTATGATAGAATTTTCTTTATAACAGAATTTATTTTAGAAACGGAAATCTCAGATTCATGTGAATGATATTCTTGCAGTATAATTAAGCTTGAAAAGCTTACATTTTTATCAATAACTTTTGGGTAAACATTGATTTTGCCACACACAAACTGATGAAAAAATATTTCTATTGATAATTTAAATTTAACACTAGGCAAAAGAAGAAATATGTTGCTTGAAAAATTGAACAGAATTGATTGAAGGGTATTTACGCTGTAAATTTTGTATGATGCCGAAAATATATTTTAATATTAGAAACTAAAATTTTAAATCCTAACATCACTGTCATGAAAAATTTGTCTGATCCCCACATACTTTAAGATCAATTTCTGCCAAGCCTAATTACCTGTGCAGGGTTGTTGTAGCTCTTTGGTCTAGGATATTAGAGGGACAATGTGGATGAGTGAGATATTACCTTTTTCTGGACCAATTTCTCCTTGTAAGAGAAACAAGTTTTCAAGCTTCACACAGTTCTTCTTGAGGTATGGGTAAGAAAAAACTGTAGGTAAGCTCAAAACTTGTCTCTTTTGCCAACAGAAGTTGAACACACACAAGATATTACCTCACCCATACGTCTCTAATAAGCCTGAGTATAATATTTCAAAGTAAAATTACCACCACTACAAAAGAAACTTGGTTTTCTGATCAAGGTAACAGTATCACTTATTTATACTGTAAGGGTACGTCTACACAGCAGGGCGAAAGTCTAATTAAGTTATGCAACTTCAGCAACGTCAATTGCGTAGCTGAAGTTGAAATATCTTACTTTACTTTTGGCACTGTCTGCATAACAGGAAGTTGAAGAAAGAACACTTTTCCTTCGACTTCTCTTACTCCTTGTGAAATGAGGGTTACCATGAGTTGGAGTAAGAAGTCTCCCAGCTCGCCATTATTTCGAAATAATGGCTTGGCGTAGACGCGCACTATGTTATTTCAGAATAACGTCAGTAGATGTACCCTAATAGCAGAAATGGCAAGTGGGTGGGACAAAGATATAGAAAATGGCAGTTCCTGTCCCAAATAATTTATTGAATCAAGGATTGCACTGAATCTATTCCTATTCTAATTTTATCATTAAGATCATTGGTGCATTTAGCATCAGGAAACCTGACCTGCCTTTCAACAAGTTATGCAAATGAATTACATAAATGCTGTGTACAATTGCAATCTATGAGAGTATATTTTGAATGCAACAAGAATATTAGGGGAAGAATCTCAATTGGTGCAACAGAAACAATTAACTGCAAGAGGTTATTCAAATTTTGGAGCTTCTTGGGTACAGGGTTAACTCACTTTTGTCTATTTGCTCATATTTGCCTAATAAGGCATTCCACAACCCCACCAATTGGACCTGAGCACAGATGTTCTCAGAGTAAGGAGTTGTATATTTGTTAAGTATGAAAAACCTTACGCTCCGAACGATGCCACAGTGCATTACTAAATCAAACTTACATTAACTATGCAAAATATACCAACTAGACAAAAGATACCATTCCAATTGCTTAAATGTAGCCACCTCTGGCATGCAGCCTGGAAACTATTTAACAGTGCCCCACAACTATACCTAAAAAACGTAATATATCTTCAATATGAAAGAACTCAATGGTTTAAGGGAAAATTTTCCTTGCCATTTTCCCAGAGTTAATAAGAAACTAAAAGGCCAATTTTTCAGGAAACCAAAATAGTTACGGATTATATTCTGCAACTTGAACAGCATGATGAATTAAGACAATCTACATGATTCCTTTGTTTTCAAGCAAGCTATATATTTTGGTTTTTTGGAAGTCCGGAGCTAAGGAAATATAGCTCTGGAAAATAAAGGATTCATATACACTTTAATGAAATAAATAGAATTACATAAGAAGTAACAAATATGAGACTAAAACTGTTCAACATATATTGGACTGACAGTTCTGAGAACAAAGCTCTTCAGTCTTTTTGTTTTTATTATTGGCAAATTACAGGGAAAGTGGTTGTATCAGAGCAATGGCAATTGTTCGACAAGGATTTCAATGTCTTAAGGACTGTTTGCAGCTTAGCATTGGACCAAATTACCAATGAAAAAGTAGTTAAAAAAAAAGTAAGTTCTTCCCCAAAATGCTTTTTTAAAAATCAGCTCTACCACATCCAAAGAAAGAAAATATTGGTTAGTATTTTTATGTTGCCACTTGACAAATACTGAAGAAATCTGATCCTGTAAACTTTGTCAGTTCTCGGTATACTGTTAAAATTACACTGGGGCACTCAAGAATGGACTACCACTTTTACTATAAAAGGAACATATACTTTGGGTCAATATAAGTAATAATTCCATATACAGGCAGTCCCCGGGTTACATGGATCCGACTTACATCGGATCCCTACTTACAAACGGGGTGAGGCAACCCCGCACTAGCTGCTTCCCCCCCAGCAGACCAGGGAGAGGCGAAGCTAGCACCGCCCCCCGCTGCCCCAAGCAGACCAGGGAGACGCGGAGCGGCTTTTCTCAGCAGACACCTCAGCTTGAGAATAAAGGACTGAGGGAAGTGAGGTGTGGGAGAATAAAACTGAGCTCTGGAGAAATGTTTGGCTAGAGTTTCCCCTACAATATGTACCAGTTCCGACTTACATACAAATTCAACTGAAGAACAAACCTACAGTCCCTATTTTGTACGTAACCCGGGGACTGCCTGTACTTATTGTCATAAAAGCTGCATTCTTCTTTCAACAAGAGATGCAACTCCTAACAACATTTTAATGACTTATAGCTGAACTCCAGCAACAACAAAAGACACTCGGGGAGTCAGTGCTGACACACTTAATTAGAAGAGCCCAGTCTAATATATTTTTTAATATTCTGAGGGGTTATTGATAAAACAAGTTGAGGTCACTCAAAGCAACAAAATCTGAGAACTCATTTGCAGAGTATGATGTAGTCTCCTGAATCTTAAAACTACTTTTTCTTAAATGTGCTGCAGAAGGTCAGAGAAACATTATGAACGCAACTTAGCAGTGTATTGAACTGGTACACTCTCCTTGGGAAGCCTGAAAGTACACCATTAGAAGTGGGAGACTGTCCATTCATCCTAAAGCAAAGCCTATTTCTGACCATTTAAATGTGCATGTACTCAGCAAATAGCTGTGATACCTATATTACTTTCAAGAGAGTTTAGATTAAAAGGGACAAGTGAAGTTCAGTTGTGATTGGATAAGTCAGAGTTCCCGCAGGGCAGCAAGACAAAACAAAACATAGGTTTCCTGACCTAACAGACTTCAGCAACACCAAGATTATTTTTACTTCTTGCCTTTTGTACAGATGTGCAGTAACACACACACACACACACACACACACACACACACACACACACACAAATAATAGAAGTTAGGGGTCCCTATCTATAGCTGCATTTCCAGAATGCTCTGGTAAATTGATATGGTCTAAACTTCATGGCAACATCAAGCAAATTACAGAGATTCAATTTTATTAAATATCTCCTAGTGAAAATTCATTTTAATGAATTTTCAACATCAAAGTTAGGCAAACAAGACTTGAACACATGCTAGTATCCTCACAGTATTGGTTATTCAACCCCCTGACATAGCACAAGGAGAAAAAAAATAGCAACACTTTTTGCAATATAGACTTAGAGATCACACCACTACCTACGGGTATATTAAAATGAAAAACTCAAGAGACATTTTCATTAATTAATATATTTTCTGCATTATAGTTAACATATGTACTTTCTTTGTGTCACCCTTATTTTCGTTAAGTATTGATATTTTGTTATATTCAGGCGAGTACATTTTTCAAAACAGTCTTTTGCAATAAATATCATAAAATAATAGAGATTCACAAAATAAATATTCTTTACAATAAAAAAAAGTTTTAACAGACTTTTGTCTTAAAAATAGTAAGGATTCAACTTTGTGTTTTATACATCAAATATACAAAAAAAAGACCACAAATTGTGGCTAAGGCAATAAAACTTGGAACAGATTAAAGTTATGAAGCACAAGGCAGAGCTAAATTCACTAACCAAGGGAATAAGAGAAGTGTTAAAGAGCCAAGAACATTTAGGTAACTTAATTCAATAACACCTGAAGATTATTCAGATATGCAAACACCACCAACTTTAACATCAGCATCAACAGGATCTCAGTGATCACAGAAACATGGTGACAGAGGTGGAGTAGTGATGTCCTTCACAGATTTGAAAGCAAGGAAAACAGATGAACAAATTGCAGCCATATTGTCTCCAATGTGAAGATCTATATAGTGAAGCAAAATCCAAAACTACACTTTAAAAGAAAAAAAAATGTATCAACCAGGCAAGTCTCTGGACTGAGACAATTCCACGAAGGAACAAAGGGAAAAGCAGGTTCTCTCTCACTATGGAGTAAAAGCCTGCCTTAAATTTTCTACGGTTCCAAACCCCTCAAGATTAATCCAGCTTGATCGTGAAATAAGGTAGAACTATTCCTTGGAACTAAAGAGAGAGACAGTTGCAGAGAACAAAAGGGAACATTGGGGAAGTTGTTTGCAGAGTAAGAGGCTGAAGAAAAGCCCTCACTGCCTCTTTCATGAGTGGATTACTTACAAACCTAGGAGGCCCTGTCAAGTTGAGGAGTCAAATGCAGGCACAGTGTCCAGGCTTACCAAAGAATTGAAATAAACATGACTGAGTAAAATACTCCACACCTGTCTGAGTTAAGAGAGGGATTATGGAGGGGGCACAGGAAAGAACTTGCATACATAAAGTGGAAAAGGATGCAATGGTAAAACCCCCACACAAACAGAAAATTAGCCACAACCTGAAAACAAGCACTGGAGGAAGTAAAATCTCCCCTCCAAAATTATGAGGGCTTTCCCTGACTCCGAGATGGGCAGCTCTCCAGCTTACAATAGACAGTGTTGGAGTTCTTACATCGGCAACCAGGACGATTGATCCGGTCATAACACCCTCGACACAGCTTCAGGCATCCCTTAGCTGGAGGGTAGCAGAGCAAGCAAGGAAAAAACAAGGACAATGCTCCCATGCACAGGTACCTAGAACAGCAATGTGCCTGCGAACAAGAGCAGGGATTATCCGCATACGAGTCCCCTTCATCATCATTGGAACAGTGGTAGAAGATCCCTTTGATCAGGCACATGCAGGTGCTGTACTCCACCATACTTTCTACTGAGCACAAGCATTGCCTGTTGCAGGCCAAACACGAAGGTAAGGCCCTCGGGGCTGTGCACTCACCACATTTGCACTTCCCACACTGTTCACAGATAAACTTGTGCTGTGTCATGTCCTCTTTCAAGGGACCCTTCAGATCATCTACCATCAAAGATGACGGCTTGGGCTGTGTCCGGATTGTCCTTTCAGATCTGTGGCTTGAACCTGGCCGAGAGAGTGGCGCTCTTCCCAACAACCCCTGCTCTGAAGAGGCACTGCTGTTGCTTCCAGAACTAGCTGCACTTCCAGTGCTAGTCGATCTGCTCAACATAGGAGCCCTTACATTAGGCTGGTGTGCCCCGGGTCCCAGGTGGCTGGGTCTGTGCTCATAATTATTATTCACATTAATTGGTACGATTTCATGAGTCCTTTCATGCTTTTCTTGTCTTGGTGCTGTCCGTGGGCCAGACTTTTTCACCACAGATGGACCTTCGGTATACTCATTGCTGCCCCTGATGGCTTTGATCTGGTCCAATGACAAGATAGCTGATGGCTGAATGTCTCTTTCATAGTCCAACCTTTGCCTGCTGTCCAAGGAAGGCTGCTGGATTACAACTAATGAACCGCCACTGCCATGTTGACTTTGGGGCTCCATCTGTAGGGATTTCTACTTCTGGCATTCAGTGGGAACCTGGCATGCATCTGAAATCCTAAGAAAAAAATTAAAATAAAAAGGGTGAAAGGAGTAAATCACAGGGAGCTTTTAAAAATAAAAATGTCACAGAAAGCCACAAACTTCCCTGACCACTTGGTAATGATCTCCTTTAGCCATGGTTTACAATGATGTGACCACTGCGAGGGGGTAAGGGAGTGGAGGGAGACAGGGTAGAAGAGGGAGAGTCTGGGTCTGGCATGCCAGACAAGGAATGTAAGAGGAGACCCCAAGACATTTTAAATCTGAGATTTTTCCATTTGAAACAAATGAAGTATTAACCTGAATGTTTATTTGGTTATCTTGGTTACTGAGATCAGCAACAGCAATACTTAGTACTCCAAATCAAGTTAGATACTTGAATAGATATCAGATTAATATTCTGCATAATTAAATTTGCACAAACTCTTTTGTCAGTCTGTGAATACGATATCATGTTTTAAGCTTATAATCTATCTTTAAAAAGAAAGACATCCATTAAGAAATCTCAAATAAATCCTACAAAAAAATGCCTAAAACCAAAGGTCATTTTCACAGTAGAAAGCTCAAAGTTTCCAAATAATGTAGCAAACTTGTTATTAAAGTAAGACAGCAGATGTAAATAACAGCTTGTTATACAACAGCTTTCTTAAGTGTTTTGAGACTACAGGGCAGGGTGTGTGTGTGGAGATGAAGTAGTAAAATAAAACTGGAACACAGTTTTCAGATATTTATGACTTGTCACGTACCTTTTCTCGTGAAAAAATAATGTAAAAAATTTCACAAGCTACTGTGGAAAAATCATGGAAGACTGAATAAACAAATAAAATTACATTTGTTTTATTTTTATCTTTTTTACAACTTCTTGTCCCAAATTACTGACACAATGCTGATTTGGAAAATTCTGCAGAGTGCCAATTTTGTACCTATACAAAAGGTAATGGGAGGAGGCAAGGAGGGCAGATTATTTATACATCATTGCAGTGATCACAGAGTATCGTGGGAAAACAAACATTTGCTTCCCTACAACAACAGTTAACGGAAGATTTACTTCCCTCAGCCTCACAAGAGTAAAACTGCGTAAAATAAATGTTTTTTTTCCTTTTCAGACTTTAATATATGTAAAATCAACTCGTCCAATGACCCTAGTAATAGTAAGTGTGTCTTGCATATCCAGAGCATATTTGACACTGAGATGTTCCCAATTCAAGAAAGAAAAAAAGGAGGGAGAGGATGAATACACAGGAGAGGAGAAAAGCAAAATTCCCCTGAAATCCTGTTAAGAGGCACTGCTTCAGTAGTCTGTGTAGAATTTGTAAAAAAAAAGTCTAACTATTTATTTCAAATTTACATTGTGACATAGAAAGCATTAATACCACCTGTTTAGAACTTAAGGTTTTAAGACTACAAAACCCCACCTCTATCCAGTCACTCTTTATTCATCCCACATAACAAGCTCTCCTTTTCTTAAGTCTTTAATATGTGCACACAAAATACTAGGGATGAATGAACACAGAAAGGGGAAAAGCCATACAGCTGCTGAGATCAGAAGTGCACTTTCAGGGGAAGAATCTGATAGTATTTTTAAAAAAAGAGTGCAACCAGTGCCATCTCTGAAAAAAATTCAATATTAATAAAAACACGCAGATTGACGAGACATATTGCAATCAAGAGAGACAAAAAAAGCCAGCTGCACGCCACCCAGTTTCTAATGGAAAGAACCAATTACCCCCACTGCGAGTATCAAAATTCCTTTTTTTTCCCCCCCAAAAGTAAAGCGAACAAAAGTCTAAGATACCATTTTTTGATGCCCACGCTCAGAACCATTGCGGATTTTAGCACAATGTACAAGTACGTCTGCGTTTCCTCCAGACCGGGGTTCACCCGACTGCCCCCCCTTTTTTTCCTCCTCCCAGCTCAGCTTCCAAAAGGCAGAATCACCACCCGAATGCATGCTGCATTGCTGCGTTTTAACTGGCGCTTGTTTGCTACACAGAAAGGTGCAAGAGAGAGGGGAGGGGGGGGAGGAAGCCAAAGATCGCCCCACTACAAGGTACGGCGGTGGAGCTGCGCCCTCTGCAATCCGAGCCGAGCGAAGCGATGAATAAATAGTTGACGGAGAGGAAGGAAGAGGGAAAAGTTATGAATGAAAACAAGGGCTGCCCCCCCCCCCTTTTGCAGGAGGAGGGGAAGACGGAGGTTACCATTACCTCAGGAGGGCGGTCCTTCCAATACTTAAAGCTGTAGCATCCCGCTTCTCCAGCACGGCACTGGAAGGTCTGGGTGTGCTAGGACGTGCACAGGGGATTTTTCCCCCGGTGGGCTAAGGGCGGGGAAACGAGGGGGGAGGGGGAAAGTCTCTCTCCTTTTATCCCTCTCCACCTCTACAGCCCTGCCAAACCTCAGCCAGCAGCGGAGGAAGGCTCTCCCCTTAGGGGTTACTGAAGGCAGCTTTTAGCAATCTCTGCAAGGAGGAGGAAGGGTTTTGCTAGATGTTTCCACGAAGCATTTCAGAGCCCCCGTCAAAACGTGACCCCCTCACTTCCCTCCTCCCTCATTCATAAAGTGTCACCGCCTGACCGCCCGCAAGAACCTCTTTTCCCGCCCTCCTCCCCACACCTCACGGTCCTTTCCAGCACAGATCCAGAACAACCTTTGGAGAAGGGGGAACTACACAACGGCCTGGCCCCACTCCTCTCCCTGAATCCTTACGGGCAGCTTGGGGCACGGGCACCAGGTTTCCCCCAGACACCACTCAGGAGAGCTACCAGCAGCGCACAGCCCAGGTCTGCCGGGAATCCTAAGCCATTGCTTCTCGCCGTCCCGCCCCTTTGCACACTCAAGCCTGCTCGCTTGGCCAGAGAAGTTCAGAGCCCTCGGATTAAAACATAACCCTGAGCGCCAGTTAAAACACACACACACACACACCAGAAGAACGGGCCCACCCCAGCCTACGCCAGACCTCCGCCACAGCACACGGCTGGCAGCAGCCTGATCTCCCCTTCCCTCAAAAGGGGGAAGGGGGGAAATGCAACGACACCTGCTCACTCCTCCAACTCGACACGTGCAAAAGGCGGCGGCGCTGCAGAACTCACGGAGTTTTACCTCAGCTCAATAAGAACGGGAGAGGAATTAAGGACTTATCTCCAAGAAGTCACTAGTGGCAAATCCATTTCAAGCCACCCCAGTTAAGATCCACAGAGCAGCGCAAGTGTGAAGAGAAGGCGGGTGGGTTTCGTTTCCCCTTCAGAAGAGACTGTGCCCCGCTTTCTCTCTCTCTTTTTTTTTCCAGCCCCGTTTTGGTTGGAGAGGACAACTCTTCCGTATTTCTGTTTTCTGCAAAGCACACAGTGATCACCAGATCCCATTCACCGAGCGGAGGGAAATGCAGTTCTCCCCTCCTCCCTCCCCGCACCTCTGCTCAAAAGAAACAAACATTCAATGGTTGCGTTCCCCTAACTCACTTGTTCATTGAGCAGGCACAATTCTCTTGGGAGAAGTAAATCACTCGATGGTGGTGGGATTCCCAAGGAAGCCGTCTCTCTGGCTGCAAGTCTCTCTCTTCGGTTATAGGTGACGACAATCAACCCCTTGCTGCAAATGGTTCATTTCAAGCTAGCAGATCAAAATGGCAAGATGCAGGCACAATTGCTGCCCGCAAACGAGCAGAAGCAGCTATAGAGCCACCTGCAGTAGCAGCAACGTGATCCAACAAGATAGAGCAGAGCAAGGCAAGGAATACAAGATTCCTCTTTTCTTCCACCGACTTCGACTTGTATTTCCCCTGGATAGTCACACGAGCCTTCTAAGCTGAACTTGCGTGGTGCAAAACGACGTCCCAGATCCAGCTCTGCTTCACCACATGGTCCTGCTGCAACCCCTCTCCCCTCCGTACAGCCAAAGTGTAACGAGAATGCCTGTCGCAAAATAATAATAATAATAATGAAGAGACGCTTATTTTCAAGCCATATCTACCGTAACTGGAGCAAGTTCTAAAACATGCAAGCGAGAGGCAGCAGAAAGCAATGGCTCTGTCTCAGAGCTCTCTGCAAACTGCCATGTGCTTGCTTGTTGCTGTTGCAGACTGATTGACAGGCTTGGAGCATGTCAGTCAGAAAACTAAAATCTAATGTAACTCTAGACACAAACTTCTTGCAGGAAGTGCTTTTAAAACTCCCTGGCATTTCAAGTGGAGCAAACAACGTTCCAGCACGCAAAAAAAAATCTGTTCATTAAGTAAGACCAACAACGCAAGGGAGGCACAATAACTTAATTGCAAATTGTACATTACCAGCAAATTGTAAGTGGCTTTACCTATTTTACTAGAGAATTCACGAGAATACTTTTCAGTCTCTAATTCAGTATAGTGCATATTTAATCATTTCACGCAGTTGACTTGCTGCAGAATTAAACTACAAAACAGAGAGAAATAAAAGTGCACCAGTATTCTTTCTATGAAAGCATTAGCAGTAAACGGCATTGTAATTCACAATACAAATGTTATTTGCATCTGGCAAAGCAACCATTAAGCTAAGACCTTAAAACGAGAATTTAAAGAGACCCCCCCCTCTTCAGTTCAAGAACAAACATTAAACACCTGATCTGTTCTTAAATGTCTTCCAAAAGGAGAACAAACGCTGCTGATGCTTACCTAATACAAAGATAAAAAACTGCTCCCCAATGCACATGTAAAGAAACTGGAGATAATTCCAACCTAACCAATATAGACAGCAGTTGCTCACTGTTGTCTGCTGCTATCACTTTGCTATTTGCTTTACTGTTGCTGTTACACAGTAATTCCAGCTCCGCACAGCAGCATTTCAGCGCGGAGCCCCCGCCTCCCCCTCAGTCACGCCTCCGATGATGTCAATGTGTCACTCGGAAAAGCTTTCTTGAAATCCTGGAGTGGAGTTCTCTACAACCCGGCAGCCATTTCTTCATTCAGTTGTACGTGCGAATTTCAAGGTTTACTTGCTACCCTGTAAAATGTTTTAACATTGTGGAAAGTAACGTGAGAATGGAATAGATAATAAACGTATGTGCGTGCGAGTCAATGTGTCACGAACTTGATCTTGGTCCTGATCTGGCAAGCACTTACATGGTCTCTCAGAACTAATTAGGAGCATTCATTGTTGAAAGTTAAGCATGTCTTTGATGCCACAGCCTTGTAATACTGTCAAAAACACACTAGCCTAGGCGCAAAACCTACTCACCCTTCTTTCTGTTCCCCTGCAAAATAATATCCGCATACATTTACAACATGCAAATCTGTTCACTTCTCCCACATTCATCTCTCTTCTTCCTGCCATGGTCCTGAAGACTACTAACCTTTCCACATTCAAAAAAGATTGATTAGTACTGTGATATTGACAAGAATCTAGATGTCTGATAAAGACAAGGTTGAAGGGTCACTGTGAACAGTCTACATAACTTAGAACAATAACTAAAGACATCTTATGTTATCAAATTCTGTATTCTCAAGATGGGACTGATCCCTGCTCTAATCACGTTATTCATATGTTTTACCTCTTACTCTTTGCCTTACCATTCTTTCATTTCTGTCTTGCTTCCTGCAAGCTGTTCCTACTGGGCAGACCTCTGTTATCACACGTAATCCCATTGAAATCAATTCACTTAGCACGGGGACAAGAGGTCCATTCTCACAGACTAGATTACAGGATCAGACCTTAGTCAATGGATCAATTTAGATGCATACAATTAATCACATGCATAAGTGTTTGCAGGATTGGGACCTTTGAATATGAGCTCTCTGAGGCAGTAAGATCATGCCTCCTTTTGTTTATATGGTTCCTAGCATGTTGTGGACTCCATGGGGAGTTTGCCAGGCTGATTTTATCTTGTATCCGTTTTAAGCAAAATCCTGACAGGCACTGAGCATCCAAACTTGCAATGAAGAAAATTTGAGTTGTGAGTGCTCAGTATCTATCAAGATTTTCATATAACTAGAGGAATAAAAACAATTGGTTATCAATTTCTACAAATTAGCCTGCAGTAAAATATATGCAACTATTTTATACTTTAGGCCACATTCAGGGATACTTCTGCATCAACACAATAATACAAATTGGCAAAATTGCTGCAAGGAGTTGGTTTTACTCTTCCAGATGGTGGGAGATACAATGTTTTCCTTACTAATTTTGTCATTTTCCATTGGCAAGCACTCCCTCCCACACACACACAAGTTTTGCAGCAACTATTTAATCTGGTTCCATCAAATGGTTTGTTGTCAAACTGGGAGAATGTATCTACAGGGGTCATGTTACAGTCAATTCTGGCTTTAATACTATTCAATATTTTTTATTAATAACCTAGATAATGGAGTGAGAGTATGCATCTGAGATTTGCAAACGGTACTAAGATGGGGCGGGCTACAAGCATTTTGGAAAACAAGATTAGGATTTAAAATGAACTTTGTCCACTTATTAAATGCTACCCATTTCCTCCCTGCATGGACACAGTGCACTCAGGCTGGTGTAAAAATGCAGTTTTAAAGCCAACGCGCTGACCTAGCAAGTAGAAAACATCCTTGTATTTCAGCTGCACAGACACAGCCTCAGATCTCTAAGGCATTTTACATGAAAGGGTTTTCGTTTGACACATTTAGAAGTTCTTAAAGCATTGTTAGGAAAGAATCTGATGATCCAATTAATAGAGAAAGCTCCATATCTATTGACCAAAATAGGCTCAACAAAGAAATAAAAATGGAGAAGTAATGGAGTTTTGACTTTGATGTGGTCAGGATTTTACCCGAGGATTTCAAATCTCATCTCTTCCACTGACGTATTACTTTCTGTATGCTTCACACGGCCCTCCTTATTGAGCAAGACATCAGAAGTCAGGAAAGTATAGGTGAGTTAATGGAGGATCTGAGATGTTTCACAATAGAGCTGGCCAGGAGACTTCATTTCACTTCTGAAAAAAAAATTTGAGGTTTTCCAAAAAATTTAATTCCATATTGGAAGTGAAATTCCAAAATATTTCATTTAGACACACCAATACATTCCCATTGAGGGAATGTTTTAGTATTTCCAAAATGAAAGATTCTCTTTGGGCTCCCAGAAAGTGGCCTTCAGAAGGGCTGGTGAGGTAGGAAGATAGATGGGGAGCAGGCAAGGAATTAAGCAGATTTTCTTCTAAAACTTGCGTGTTCTGTCAGAAGTTTCATCAAAATTATCATATGCCCACAGAACATTTTGATTTGACATACCAGCATTTTCCAACAGAAAAATGTTCCACCAGAAAATTTCTGACCCGGTCTGATTCACATGTCCCCTTCTTACAGAACTGGGAACTGAGCTATGTTGTTTCATAAAAAATAGGTACATTTTCATATTTGAATATATTCTCCACAAATTAAGACTACTTTTGCATGCCCCATTCTGCTACATATTGGGAGAAACTCAGATGAAGTCAGAGGTCTTTAATTTCATGCTCTAACCCATTTGTTCTACAGGATGATCTTGTCACTGAGAAACTAGAGTAGAACCTATGAAAACTGGATTCTCTCTCTAGCTCTGTTGCATATATTCGTAACAATAAAAAAGAAATTCCTTAAATGACATTTTCAAAGGCTACCACTAATTATAATTATCAGTTATTTCTATAGGGCGTGTTACTGTATCTTCAAGTTATTAAAATATTATAATTGTTTTCAAAAAGTTAACTTTAAACAAAAAGAACAAAGAAACAAACCACAATAGAAATAGTAATTAACACGTTGAACATTATGCCATAATAAGGCATGATGAACGAGGACTCTTATGCTTTTTAGTAGTTTGCTACACATTTCTGAGGTCTCTGGTATATCTTTAATTTTAAAAAGCAGGTCATTTCTATACAGTTATTTTTGTACCTCTCTAAGGAAAAACATATGCCTCCAAAGAAGAAACTGATTAAAACAGTTAAAGTTTCCTAAGGAGTGGATATTCCTCTCAAAACAAGGAAATATCAATTTAAGGTATCTTCTTTTAACATCCCCTAACCAATATATATAATTTTCACCACCTTCACTGATGCACTAAAAATATCTCTCATACAACTTCAACATACCCAGTAAAACAATATACATACTTACTGTAACACTACAATGCAAAACTTTATCTCTGACCATGTGAAACATCATATACTTCATGGATATCCACCCAACATGTCTAATGAACGTTAATGTTTCTGAGGCTGGACTTAATGTGTTACTGTCACTGAAAAGTGATAAATACAATCTTCTAATTCAGTAACAAACAAGGGAGTGAAAAAGTCTTGTCAACACAAAAATAAATGTAATATTGCTAAAAGAAATGAGGAAATATAAACTCTCATCATTATTACCTCTGATTTATTTCAAGCTGAAAAAATAAGTGTTATAAACAAAACACCATTTAAATAAACTGGAAGCTCTTTGGACTTAGAAACTAGTTCCTGGTCCCATTGAAGTCAGTGTGAGTTTTGTTACTGACTTAAATGGGAGGAGAAACATAACCTTTTATATAATCTTTCATCTCCTATCTCAAAAGTGGGTCAGAGCAGCCACACTAATTCGTAAAAGCATTCACTTTTTAAAACAGCATTAGTCTTGATAATAGGATACACTATGCATAGTTTATAATATCAATATTTTAAAAATTATTCTCAGGGCAGGAATTTAGTTTCTCTGGGCCAGTTTCCTTCCCTGAAAAATGGGTAGAATGTTGGCTTCAGATTGTGGATTTAAATACAAGGGATTTGCCACATATTGTTACTATATTATTTATTTATTACTAATAGCGAGAGCACTTTTTCCTAATTACAAAAATGAGAGATTGTGGCAGGTAGGGCTTGGCTAAAATTGATGGTGGAGGGTGTAACAAAATAAAGCTATTGTGCAGAGATGAAGTAAAAAAATCATAAACATTGTGGGGGAGGAGAGGAAACTGAGCACTGAAGTCACAGTGAAGTATTTTAGTGCAAGTGAAGGAAAGTGAAGGATGATGTGAGGTGGAGTTTCCAGTCACACTTTCCAGTAGACAGATTGATCATTATCTGAGATCAAAAAGACAAGTGGCTGGGGATTTCTTCTGTGCAAAGAGCTTTCTTGAAGTTCTGTAAAGAAATGCAGCAACATACAACAACTTGCTGTCAAGGACACGGGGTTGTGGGTACGCACATGGGAAATTCTCAGTTGCAACGTAATCTTGATTTTTCTTCAAGAAGACAGCATTGTTTTTCTTAGAAGCTGAACAGAGAGGACTATGCCGCAGTGCAGCACACTTTCAAGAATGAAAAGAGGAAAGCAAAACTTGATGCAACCATGAAGTTTGGAGGTAGAATCAAACTTCCATCAAGCACAGAGATGTTCAAGAGTTAGGGCTTTGGCTCAAGCCCAACCAAAATCAGAAGTCAAAGGAAAATTATGAAAGGTTTCTGTTTGGCTCAAGATGCTGGACCTTGCTCACCTTCACCCACACAAGCACTCAGCAAACAGGAATCAGGGTGTTCTGTGGGTGTTCACCCCAAACATTCTCATTGGCTACAGGTACTGAATTTTATTTTCAAGTTGGCTATTTTAGGTATTTGAAAGTCACTGACCACTCTACTTTTCTGCAAATGGGCTACATTCTGAAAGAAGCACGGAAAGCTACTAATCGATAAATGGAGATCAAATGTTTATGCTTTCTTGCTGTCACTGGGAGGGTGGGGTTGGGGTTAGAGTAGAACTACCAACATCACAGGATAGATTATGTTGCAGAAAAGATATGTTTATATGCTGTGCTCCAGCGTGTAGGCCCTCCCCCTGCAGTGAAAGTGGAACTTTCTGTTCACTCTTCTAAGGGCACCGGAAGGGAGTGTGTTCATTGCTCCCTTGATGCACTGGCGAGTGACACACTCATTTTTCCTCCTCAGAGCAGACTCTTCCCCAAGGTTTCTTTTCTTTGTCACCTATTCAAGTTTATTTCTCCCCTAAGTATTTTACCTAGAGTTTCTTCTTGTTTAGCTACTCTACTACACAGTTCAGGCTACCTCTAGCTGCTGTTCTGAACTGATGAATGATTTCTTCATTA